GAAAGAAAGAAAGAAAGAAAGAAAGAAAGAAAGAAAGAAAGAAAGAAAGAAAGAAAGAAAGAAAGAAAGAAAGAAAGAAGAGAAAAGAAAGGGGGAAAGAAAGAAAGAAAAGAGAGAAAAAAAGAAAGGTAACCTTTCTACAGCCATTAACTTAGTAGGCCCCAGCGAATCCTTGAACCAAAGAGCACTGGCTCAGTGCAGGGAAAGATGTCTCAAAGAAAAACCCTTCACTGTTGTTTCAGCTAAAACTTCAAAACACAGTTTTTAAAAAAGTTGTCAAGACTTAACCCAACCACACTGGTAAACAGAACTGAAAATCAGAATCACCTTTTTAACAAGCCACATTACCACCCAGAACTTTCTCCTAGCTGTCAGGAAACTTGGTTGCAGCCCTAGCTCAGCTAAAATTGGCTAAATGATTTATATATCTCTTCCATCCAAGCAATTGCTCATTTTATCCCAAATTTGGTGCATGACCTTTCTGAATCAATGACATTTTTATGCATCTTTGGGGATTTCTACAAAATAATATCAGAGTCTTGCTGGACAAACATAGGTCTTTTGTGGAGGCTGGGGCCTCTCAGGTGCACAGAGTTGAGTTTCTCAGGTTCCTTGACTCCCTCTATCAGCCCTCTGCATGGTCTCTGGCCCTTAGCCTGCTTTGCTAACCTTCTGAGCATGATGACTCTGTGACATTTTGTGTACTTTTTTTGTTAACTGTAATTTAAACCTAGTGAAAATGGAGATATTGCTTATTTCATTGCCTGCTGTACCACCAGAGCCTCAACAGCGCCTGGCGTATAGTAGATGTTTAATAAACACTTGTCGACTGAACACCATGTACTCATCATCAGCCTGGAAGCATAACTCTGAATGCAATAAACAGATCCGGCTGAACGTTGTACAGCGATTCAGCATTCCAGGTATTTATCGAGCCTGTGCAATGTTGGGGACATATTTATATTTTTTTAAATGTGTTTCTTGTTTATCTGATATTCAAATTTAACTGTGCGCCCTACATTTTATCTGGTAGCCTCACAGGAGGTTGACATTTTCATCCTGCCTATTTCATAGATGAGGAAACTAAAGCAAAGATGGGCTAAATGTTTTTACACAAATTCAGAAGTTAGAAGGAATCTTGCTGTCATTTGGATTCATTGCTTAAAACAAGGAAATAGAGGCCTGTGAAAGAAAGTAACTTGCTATTTAGTGACACAGCTGAGAAGAGAAGTGAGAACAGAGAGAACAGCATCTCCTCTCTCCCAGTTATCCCTTCAAGATCCTGATCATTCAGTCATGGAGCAAATATGTACTAAGAACCTACTGTGTGCCAGGTGCCAAATTATACTCTAAGACACAGCCAAACCAGGCAGAGACCCTACCTGAAGGAGCAGATAGGGACGTGGGCTCTCTGTCCTCCCACAGAGTCAGAGGGATGTGCCTTCTGACTCACCAAGTCAGATTGCCTCTCTGCATATCCAAACCCAGCTGGCAGATCAGATTAGGGCAGAAATCCAAGAGAGCCGCAGAGCAGGCACCCACGAGCTACAGTTAGCACTGATTTGCTTATAGTTTTTAGCCTTTTTCTCAAGAAGGCGGACCAGAGGCTGGGGTGTGAGCCTTTGTCACCCAGCAATTGAGTGCGAACTTTCCATCAAAGCACTTCTCTCTGCTTTGCCACCCCTGCCTCATACACATGATTGGTTTTTGAGGGGAGAGATGCTACTTCTTGAGGTTAAGGAAGTGAGATTTCGCTAAATGGTGATTCTGGTTCCTTCCAAGCCTAGAAGTATCTTTGCAAAAGTCACTTGAAAAAAAATATATAACTAACAAGCATTCAAGAAGTGTTCAGGTTCTCCAGAAATTTTTTTAACCTGCAAATGAAAATAATAATGAATTACTATTTCTCACTTATAAAACTGTCCAAGCATTCTTCTGCTAACACTCACTGTGAACAAGATTGTCAGGAGAGAAGCATTCTAATACACTGATTGTAGCTGAGTAGATCAGTGCAGCCTCTCTGGAAAGCAACTTAGAAACATGCATGATACTGTTTAGTGAGAAAGGGAAATTGACAAAACACATTATGGAGAAGAGTGCCACTGCTTATAGGAAAATGTATGTAATGAAGATTGGGGGAAAATACATGGTGATGTCAGGCATGTTCAGCATGTAATGGGATTGTAATTTTCTGAATTTTCAAAGATTTCTGCAGTGACTCTGCATGGATATGCCTTCCCTCATCACTGACCTTTTAGCAGAAAGTGACTGCTTCCTACCAAGCCTGGTATCAAGGTCTTCTGACCACTTTCTCTTCAATCTTGTTGCTGAGCTGAATAACTTGGCTGGCAACTATGCACCTCGAAAGGCCAATTGTTTGAGGGTTTCTTGTAGGGGTAGTGGGAAGCCGTTAACCCTTTTTTTTTACATCCGTTTGGCACTCCCCACCACGGACATCCACCAGCCTGGGGCTTAGGCTTCCTCTGTGGAAGAGTCGAAGTATGCACCTGGCTATGGGAACATGTGGTTCATTTGCAAATAAGACCTTCAGACCCACTCCTTAAAACCTGTTCCTTTCACCATCTTCCCCTTCTCAGTAAATGGCCTTTCATGTGTTCAGCCAAACACCCAGGACTAATCCTTGACCCTTCTCTTTTCCTCAATTCCCACATGCAATCTGCCAGCAATTGTTGTCAGCCCTACCATCGAAATATACCCAACATCTGACCATTTCTGTCTCTAGGCAGTGGTCCACTGTTGATAGCTGAGCTGAGATCAGAAAACAGGTCTTCTGAGTTCCAGGTTAACACTTTCCCTGCCACACCTAAAGCCTACTAGATTTCCACGGACTATTTAGAATGCATCTCCCACTCCCACTCAACCACTCCCTATGACCGGCCCCAGGAAAATCTTTTGCCTAATTCTTGGGCCCCCTTTAATGCATTTTAGGTAATATCTAAATGTATTCATTGATTCATTCAAGAAATACTAATTGAGCACCTACTATGTGCCAGGCAGGATGCCCCATAGTGCACAAAACCAAGCCTAAAGTCTGTCCTCATCATTTGGGCAGAAAATAATCACACAAAGCAAATGTGTAATCGCAACAGTGACACAATCTACATGTTATGAGCTAAACATGCAAGAGGAGGATAAAAAAAAAATCCCCTCTAAATAGAAGGGTCTGACCTTTGGAAGGTTCTTTGAGGGAATTCTGCTTGAGTGGAGTTCTGAAGGATTAGTAATTAGGTAGGAGGGAGGGGAGAACACTAAAGCATGAGCAAGGGCCTAGGGCAGGAGGGAGTGTTGCAAATGTGTGGAACATCTGGAAAAGCCAGTGTGACAGGAGTGCAGAGGGCCAGGGGAAGAAAGCATGTCGTCAGTGATGCTCAGGAGAGGAGCACTATATGATCTACACTGCCAGGTATCACTCAACAGCTATTCTCCCCTTATTCCTCCTTTTTTGCTGGCCTATGGCCACTTGGAAAAAAATATTACATTTTCCAGCCTCTCATTCAGCTACCTATAGCCGTGTGACTAAATTCTGCACAGAGGATGCAAGTAGAAGTGCTGTGTGCAATTCCTCCTTCCTGCTATCTGAGATTTGATTGCCATGGCTGGAGCCCAAGCAGCCCTCTTGGGCGATGAAGTGAAAACCGCATACTAAGGATGACAGAGCAGATAACTCAAGTAGTCTGAGTCCCCCATCACTTTAAGGAGTTGCTGTGCTAATCCTGGCTGGTTGAACTACTGACTCTTCACATAGAAAATAAAATCTTATCTATTCAAACCCCTATTAACTTGGGATTTCTGTCACTCATAACTAAATCAAATCTTGATGTATGTAGCCTTGTCAGACTTGTTCAGAGGTTTTGCCTTTATCCCAAGAGCAATGTGACGCTTTGAAAAGTTATTATGCTGCAATGTGCATATGCGTATATGTGTCATGATCAGTTTTATATTTTGAAAAGTTTACCTGTCTGATGGCAGCAGGATGGAGGGATAGGAGGAATAGGTTGGGAGAACCAGGATAGACAGAGTGGAAGCAATAGAACAAGAGGCTGCAGTTGCAAGTGAGAAATTAGAAAATGACAGTGACTTTTGCTAGGATTGTGGCTCTGGAGATGCAAATAAGTAGATTCTAGAGACGTTTGGGATGTGGAAACAACAGGACTTACTACTGTTAGGGATGTGGAGGGGTTCAGGGAAAGAAGGCGTAGAGAAATGGGTCCCGTACCTGGCTACTGCTTCAGTGCAAGGTTCCAGAAATCCTGGCTCCAGAAGAGGGACTTTTTCCCTTTCTTGTTGTCTGGAATCTGGGTGGCCCCTTCCCAGCCCACACCCAACCCTCCAAAATAGCTCAGCTCTGACATACCTCACCAGAGGCAGCCCTTAGAAATATTTTCCCAGGAACCTGGAGGGAGGAGAAAGTCTGTAGCCTTGGGGGACTGATGGGGAAGAGATCTGGAAAGAGGAACAGACCTGTCTGCAGGAGAAGCAACATCTCCCAGCACTGCAACCAGGCCATTGCCTTTGATGGTTCAGACTTGGCTGAGTTGCTGCCTGATCTCTTCAGAGCCACCGGCATACAAAAGGGAGGGCTGAGTGTCGGATGAACTCAGCCCAATAATATTCATTTCTTTTATTTTCCAGGAACGTCATGAGACCCACAGGGCAATCTTCTGGTTTTAAGACCTAGTGAGTCAAGTCTACAAATACCTCTGACTCAATCTGATCCCAAGTTCTCACCAGGCATCTCCTAGGAACGTGGCTCAGCAGGAGAGCTGGAATTGACCCGCCCTCTGCAGGGAACAGGAGGGTTGGTTTCTCTGCTTTAGGTTTTAGGGAGGGAGGGGGTGAGAAGGGCTGGCTGCAGTGGAAATGATGGGATTCTTGACTTGACACTGACCATGCTCACAGTAAGAGCCGACATTTCCTGGGTACTCTCTAACTGAAAGCCATGTGTTATTTCTTCTAATCTTCACAGAAAACTACAAGTGGTTTCTGTTATCAATTCCATCTTACCATTGAGGAAACTGAGGCTTGGCTATGTTAGGAATCCTGGTCGCTGGCACAGAGCTGTGGCATGAACCAAGGTAGCTGATGCCAAAGGCTATTCCCTGTGACGGAGGGCATGTGCTTTACAGAGTTTTTGCAGGCATGGTAGGAAGACTGAGGAGAGCTAGCATTTGTGGAGGACCTGAGACACTCTAGACCAGTTATATGCCACCTTGACTGAACATTAAAATCACCTGGGGAGTTTTATAAGCACCATCCATGCCCCCGACCAATTAAATCGCATCTGTAGGAGTCATACCCAGGCATCCTAGGTTTTAAAAGCTCTCCAGGTGATTCTAATATGCAACAAGGATCGCTCAATAAAAGCAAGTTCCATGGGGTTTTTTTTTTTGTTTTTTTTGTTTGTTTGTTTGTTTTTCATTTAATGACCCTGTATTCATTTGTAAATGAGGAAGCTGCAGCTCACAGAATTTGGATGGCTTGGACCAACCCCATGGCTGATAAGATTCATGTCTTAATCTGTATCTGGCTGATTCCAACACCCGTGTTTGTTCAGTTCATTTCATCCTCTCTCATATTTGGGCATATTCTATTTTGAAAGCATGCAATTTTTAAAATATAAATTTATTTTGCAAATTTCATTTTGTTTTGTTCAAGTCCAAGTGCTGTTTAGGTCAGCTGCCTGAGAGTAGCAATGCAGCCTATAGCCACTGAGTGGGGTGGGTTGGTCCAGGGGCAGCTGAAGCCGTGGCCTTGGCTTCATCCAGGCTCTGCTACAACCAACAGGCCGGAACCTCCGAAGATATGTCCAGGAGCCCTGGCTGGGATGTGCCTTCTGACTCTCCTAGGCAGAATACCACCTGTCTTCTGTAGCCTCAAGCCCTGAGGGGCCCCCATCTGAGGATGAGAAGGCCCCGCCCTGAAGAACTCCCTAGTCTCTGTTTCCAGCAGTGTTCGCGATTTCCCAAGGAGTGACATTAGAAAAGTCATCACCTATTTACTTCTGTACAGATCATTCAGAGCCTAATTTTCTGGCAGCTGAGGGTTGAGCTCATCAGAAACAGCCTTCATCATCCACTGCATTAATCAAGCCAAGCCAGGAGAAGGGAGAAGGGCAGCCCTCCGGATGGAGTCAAGCCACCAAGCAGTGCTTCTGCTCTAAGAGTGCCCTTAAAGAAGGGGCGAGAAGGAAGTGAGAGCAGATACCTGTACACCCATGTTCATAGCAGCATTATCACGAGAGTCAAAACGTGGAAGCAACCCAAATGACCATCGATGAATGAAAAAATAAAGTATGGCACAAGCATACAATGGAATATCGTTCAGCTTTAGAAAGGAAGGAAATTTTGATATATGCTACAACATGGATAAACTTGGAGACCTAGGCCAAGTGAAATAAGCCAGCCACAAAAGCCAGTCCGCAAGGTATCGTATGATTTCCTTTGTATGATGTTCCTGGAGTGATCAAATTCATACAGACAGAAAGTAAAATGAGGGGGAGTAAGTGCTTAAAGGATACAGAGCTTCTGCTGGGGAGGATGGAGTTCTGGAGAAGGATATGGTGATTGCCTAACGGTGTGAATGTACTTAATGGCACAGAGCTGTATACTTAGCAATGGTTAAAATAGTAAATTTCATGTTCTGTATACTTTACCACAATCAAAAGGTAGGGGAGAAGTATGGCACCTTCAGTCACAATTTTTCCAAGCAATTGAAAGATCTACATATGCCATTACCATAAATGTTTATGAAATGGGAATGGGAAGAGCTGATAAAATAAATTGCTGTTGAGAACTTAATAGATCAGGTGTGGGTGCAGCACCCCAGGCAGCCCCTGAGGATGAGGATTACTTACCCAGTCCTGGACCCTAACTAAACATTAATGCCTCCTCAAAGTTGTCTGGTTTTTCAGTCATCAGGGTATCAAATTCTACTAAAAGGGCTTTGTTGACACTGTGTGGATGCAGGTTGGGAGAAAGTAAAGTCCAGAGCCTGACATTTTCAGAACCACTTTTAGATTCATCTTCATTATAAGCAAAGTGTTGCAACCTCCAAGCCGTGCACACCCAAGCAGCTGTCTCTCGTCACTCATTCCCACTGGCAACACTGGCCAGCATTTGGGTCAAGAGCCCCATGGTTCTCGCCCAGACTTCCAGACACCTCACCTCTTTATTGCTTACCCTGCTCCAAATATTCCTTGAAGGCACTAGGCACATTCCCACCTCAGTGCTCTTCCACTTGCTGTTCCCGCTGCCTGAAATGCTCCTCCCTCAGATATCTGCCTACCTCATCTCCTTCAGCCTTCACTAAAAATCACCTTCTCAAGTGTGCTCTTCTGGCCACCCTACTTAAAAGTACCACCCCAACTCTACCATGTCATCTTCCTGTTGCCCTTGTTCTGAACACAGAAAGTTGTCTTGCCCTTTACAAAAGTAGGACTTTCCTTTTTACCCCCTCTTCTCCAACTTATGCTTGCCTCTGCTTCCTCTTGCCTCTGCCAGGCTATAGGGAGCCTCTGGGGACAGGGGCTGTCTCTTTCAGGACTGGCCTGGGGCTTGGTAGACACCAGCCCCCTTTGTGGGATGAATGGAGGGGAGGGCGCAGAGGTGTGCTCTCAGGGGGTGGCCTTTAGAACCTAACTTCAGGAAACACTCCCTTAAAAGAGCTTTGCAGCTGGCAACTTGGAGGGCTCAGCAGGGTGGCAGCAGAGCACTACCCTCTGCTCCTGAGCTCTGGGGACCAGGGAGGCACCTGGAGATGCTATCACTGTCCCACTCGTATCCTTAGGGCATATGCCGGTGGAGAAAACTATGTGTGCAAATGCATGAGGCCTGGAAGACTGTGGCCTCAAAGGCCATCTGAAATGGCTGGACTGGAGGGTACACAGGGCTGGGGGACTTCATGAAATGGCTTAAAATGTAAAAAGGACAACCAGGCACAGTGGCTCACACCTGTAATCCCAGCACTTTGGGGGGCCGAGGCAGGCAGATCACAAGGTCAAGAGATCGAAACCATCCTGGCCAGCATGGTGAAACCCTGTCTCTCGTAAAAACACAAAAATTAGCCGGGCATGGGAGCACACACCTGTGGTCCCAGCTACTTGGGAAGCTGAGGTGGAAGAATCACTTGAACCCAGGAGGCGGAGGTTGCAGTGAGCCAAGATTGTGTCACTGCACTCCAGCCTGGCAACAGAGCAAGACTCCGTCTCAAANAAGACTCCGTCTCAAAAAAAAAAAAAAAAAAGTAAAAAGGACAGATGGTTGAAAGAGTTTGTCTACTAAGGTAAAGAACTTGAACTTTAGCAGGCAATGGGGAGCCACCAAAGGGTTTTAATTAGGAAAGTACCAGATTTGATTTGCCTTTTAAAAAGATTACTCTGGCAGCCAGTGGCATGGAGGCTGAAATGGATGGGCTGGAGGCAAGAAGGCCAAGTGTAAAAGTAATATCTTGAACAACGATGAGTTCAAATGACGTTATAGGAGAAGGGAATGTGAGAGTGACATCCTGCCATCCAGTATTAGAAGCAACTTTTTTTTTCAAGGAACAGATCGAATTTCAGCGAAAAGAAACTTTCCTGCCACCCTTTATGACGATCCTATGAACGCTGACTCCTTCCCTCATTCACGTTGGCCACCCTTGGTCTTTCATGCATCACCATTCAATAAAAGCAAGCGTGGGTTTTATGGGATTGTTTGGAGAGCCCCGAGCCAAAGTTTTCTACTCGCTTAGGCAACGCGGCTCTGCCAATTCCTAAATTGGCTGTTTTTTACGTATAGGGTGTGAAAGATATCTCTATGCCTCTCTAGGAACACGCCCATTTGGAAGGAGACATTTGTGACTATACATAATATCTTCATGTGCTTTTTGAAGGGATGTTTATACAACCTGCATATTCTTTGGCATGAATATTTTTGTAGAGTGGAGAAAGGGAGAGACAGCATGAGAGAGCTATTCCTACACCATAACTGCCTTTGGCTCACAAAGCAACACGCAAAATAGATTACGTTCTTCAGCAATGCCTCCAGGGCTGAACAGCCCCCAAGTTAACCCACTTAATCCTTCTTCCTGGAGGGTCACTCACCTTTGAACTTTATTTTCTAGACCTACCATTTAAAAAAATAACAATGATATGGCCCAGTCCAGACCCTACTGAAGCCCAGGTTCCCTGCCTCCAGAGGAAGAGCTCACCGAGAGTCATCTCGCTTGTAAAACTCGGGTTGCTTGAAGAACTTGATGGAAAGAGCGGGGCAGTAAAATGTGGCATTTTGGCTTTAACGAGGCCAAGAAGCCCAGAGTGGGGCCAGCTGTGTAGCCTGAATGAACCCAAGAATATTAGAAGCCAGGGTCACATGGAACCGGGACACCACCAGGAATGTGGGGAGCAGAGACAGTCTGGCGAGGAACGGAGGGAAAGGCTGCAGCCCCCTGCTGCCAGTTCCCATGTGAGTCAACAGGAGGGCAGGGGGTGGCCAGGACAGGCAGGCAGGAGCAGTGATCCTACCGGGTGAACAGGCAAGCTGCTCCCAGCCGCGTGGGGTTCACTTGGGCCCTCTTCACACCGTCAGGCTC